ACAACTTGGGTTATTTAAGATAATAAGCCATCACCTACAAGACAGATAGGATAATACAGGCCCCAATTAATAAAAAAAGATAAATAATTGTAAAGTTATAGACATTAAAGCCCAGTACTCTTAATATAAGGCTGTTAAAATTTATTTGCTGGATGTTTAAGATTAAGATTTAAAATTAAAGTTAAATGAAAAGGGCCAAGAAAACCAATATTTGGCTTTTGCCCTCTGAGTCAGTCTGAATCCAGGGAACAGGGGACTTCTCTAAAGAGCTTTGCAACTCTGGGCCACATAACCTCCCGATCAGGGAGATTAATGAGACCACTGGAGAGCAGAAAGCCAATCAGTGCATTTGCTATGAAGAGGAGAGTCATCAGAGAAGGGAGACATCCCTGATGCTTCTGAGGGAAGCCACATGGTCCAGCAAGACTTGGATCCATCCTAGTGCAAATGGCACTAGCAGAACTGAAAAGCTGCTCTCAAGTTTCCCCAGGAATGACTCCCATAAAAACTCAGCTGGCTGTTAACAATAGATAGAAACAAAAGTCAGTCTGACTGCTTCATCTTAAACACTTAGCAAAGACATTAAAACCAAAACAGAGCCCTTCCTGGACATTTTAAATAATAATAATAATAATAATAATAATAATGATAATAATAATAATATTTTAAGGTATACACCTTATGTGAGCCTCCCAAAATAAGTAAGACTGGAGGTTACAAAGAAAGATTCTCAGACAGAAATGCCTGATAACTATAAAAATAGACTATCAAGAGAGCTGCCAGAGACAGAAGTTTTTAGTTTAAGGCCTACAGCTATTCCTAACCTACACAGGTAGACTTGGTGTTTGCTAGTATGATTATCCAGCCCTGAGTAACAGAATTAAAGGTTTCTCTATTAGACACAGAGGTCATACTAGTAAAAGGATTTTACATGATCAGATGATACTATTAAACTGTATCTTACGGAAAAGGACATTTGTAACACTAAAAGTTTAATGTTGTGTTTACATTCCTGATAACTTTAAAATTGTTAAAGATTTACATTTCTCTATAAAGGCTTTGTCCACTCTGGCCTTATTATGGAGACAGATTCTCTTGGTAAATATATATAAATACTAACTTCTCAGCCCTCACACCTCCTGGTGAGGGAACTTCTATACACAGGTGCTGCAACGTTTATTCAGGACTCATGGTTTTTGTTTCTCTCATAGAAGCACCCATCCCCAGATGACTTTACAACCTGTTCTTCCCCAACCAGACTCCAAACCAAACTGACTTCTAAAAGGCAACTCATGTCCCTCATGCTGTGCCCCCTCATGTCACCCCCTCTTAGTTCAGAAGAAGCCAAAACGAGTGAAGCCCCTCTTCTTACAACAATGGAGCCAAAAATAAATAGACTGTCAATATAAATAATTAATTAAGTCAGGTCAGATCAGGGAGACCGGTTTTGAGTGAGTTCTAAAAAGTTGGAGACTGTTGCCTGAGGGATTAAAATTCCCTCAGTGCTCTTCCCCTACCCTATCAAAGATTTGAAAGGGACACATAAGAAAAGCGGGGAATGATAGACCCAACCTGATCTTTTCTTAAAATTGGGAGCCATCTTGCCACAAAACCATGAAAAGATAATTTCGGCTTTACTATAAATTATTGCAAATTCTGAACCTGCTTGGAATGCCTGCCCGTGCCTTGAACTCACCCATGCCTGGCTCTCTGACCAGACAGCAGCCCTCTCTGAAACTTTAGTGACACCTCATAAATATTGGCCTTCCCTGGGCAGATACTGACCCTCTCTGAGGCTCTAATGACCTTCATAAATTCTGATGTTGGGGCCAGCAGAAATGTAAACTACCATTAGTGTTATGCTCCTCAGAGTTCTGTTATCTGTAACCCCCTTTTTGTATAACTTTCTGGGCTATAAAGCTGGGCTGCAGGAAAGCTTCGGCTGCTGTCTTGTTCCCGCGGTTTTGGGTGGGAGAGGCAGCCCGGCCAGTCGAAATAATAAGCTTGCTTTAATTTGATTTTAATTGGAGTTAGTGGTCTTTCCTTGTGTCCTGGTCTAACAGCTACTCCAGAGACTGAAAGGCACCCGTTTTGTCATATTTGATAAAATAAATAGTACAAGAACACAAAGGTATATTGGTACCCTGGTTACAAAAACATAAATCCAGTATCTGAATAAAAATGTAAAATGTTGCTTAGCTTGAGTGAAGAGGTTATGGATGTATATGGTATTTTATTATTTATTATTTATCTGAAATTCACATTAGATAGGACATCCTATACTTATCTAGCAGGTAAGCAGGATGGCTACATTACATCATTGTATTTTCTTCATGGTACTTATTACTCTCTGAAATTAATTGTCCCTTTATTTATTGTCTCCTTCCCCAACCCGCCTAAGGACTATTCAAGAAAGGGGCTTATAAATCTTATTTATAGCTGTCCCCCAGCATCTAACACAAAAAGTAACTTCAATAAATATTTGTTGGGTGTTGAATGAAATGTGTATAAATAGGTACAGTCCACTGAGATACATTTTTAGGACATTGGTGAAAGATGTATTTTCTACAAGCAATTGTGTGTGTGTGTGTGTGTGTGTGTGTGTGGTGTTGGGAAATTGAACTCAGGGCCTTGTAAAGGCTAAGCAAATCCTCTACCACTGAGCTATGTCCCCAAACCACAATCATCTTAATCATACTAAACTGCTTTCCTGGAACATTTTCCTCTAGTCCTGTGGATAATGAATCTGGCATCTATTGTTTTCCATCTCTGAGAGCCAATCACAAAGGACGCTGGGTGGCATCTGTTAGAAAACTCTTAAGCTATGCCAAGATGATCTTGTCTGTGGATACAGTTCTGGGGGTGGGGTCCCCAACATTTCCTTTTGCAGCCACTATAAGAACCATGCAGGCAGGGACCTGAGAGAGGCCACGCAGCATGGTGCATGGCGGATACCTGAGTGCTCCTGTGGGAGTCACCACCACATGGACACCTGGACTTGTTACAGCAGCTAAAGGACTAGGTTGGAAATAGTTGAACCACTTCATGGAACAGGAAACTAAGTATTAATTCATTGTTTTATTTCTTTCCAAACCATGATGAAATTATCTGTCTAATGTATGGAAAAACACCATGAAAAGACACATTGTCTATGATGTACTCCTGAGGAGAATGATCTTATTTTACATTTTATTTGGATTCTGAAAGGTGTGGGCACACTTGGTTGTGTTTGGGGAGAACAAGTTTTCTTTTGGTTCCATTTCATTGTTTTTTAAATTGTTTTTGTTTTTGTGGTGCTGCAGATTGAATTTACTGAGCTAACCCCTGGCCCTTTTTTTTTAAAAGAGAGAGAGAGGGAGAGAGAGAGAGAGAGAGAGAGAGAGAGAGAGAGAGAGA